ACTGGGAAATAGTTCGCGCAAAATCGTCCCAGTACTTTAGTACTGTACATTTAGTTCTGGAACTAAAGCGGTGCGAAAGGCCCTAAAGATCACTGTTGATCAAGTTGTATTTCTGCAGTCATTCTGATGATGGTCTGAGACTCTTAGTAATTATGGTCTCTGATGTCATGCACAAAGAACCTCACTCTGTTCACACATCCGCACTTGCCTACTTTCACAAGACTTTGCCTTAAGTCTGTAAACTGTCTTTGAACACCACTGCAGAGGGAATGCAAGGCCACAACTTGAAAATGAAACCGAAAACTGGGAAACAATAGAATTCTCCCCAAAAACAGGAATCATGCCTAAATCACTAACAACTTCTAATGCAAAAAAAAAAAAAGGTCTCCATGGGATGGAACAGTCTATTCCATTAATTTGCACTTGAGGCTTTGAACCTTTTTGAGTGGTTTTGTTGCATCAAGTTCCAAAAAAAGTTTTTGGAACATGTCAAAAGTGTATTTAAGGGTTTCCGGATATTCCAGGTTGAGGGCATACATCAACCCCATCAACAGAATGCATGCTGTGGTTTTGTTTCCACATCCAGTAAGGACTTTGTTGCCCTCAACAACAACCCACACATCTGATGGGTCCTCCTGCACACGCACAAACGCCCAATTATATTAACATAACTCCACATTTGTAAAATAACCCCCAAACCATTTTTAACATACATTAAACGAAATAACCCCACAGAAAGGGACACATTAATTATCATATGAATCCGTAAATAATAACAATAATACAATTACTTTATGATTTGATCCCTTCTAGCACAGAACAAAACGTAGAGAAAAAGACGGTCCGTTAGGTGTGGACAAGGCCTCAATCACACAGTCACAATGCTAACCTGTTCACTAATTTCAGCCATGTACATAACACTAATGGTAGCTAATATTTTAATTATCAATGTAGATTTTTAGTCGCATTTGCAGGTGCCAGTATAGGACCTGTAGTTAACGTTACTCCATATCAAAGCTAAACCGACCAGCCTCAAATTCGAACCTGTCAGCTTTGCTGTGGCGCCGACAAGATAACAGAAGCAAGCAAATTACACATCTTTTGGTAAATCTTACCATTAAATAAGTTAACATTTGCATTGAGAATTATATCAACATGATAAACAACAAAAATAAACTTACCTGCACCTCAACTCTTCGCGGTCCCCGCTGGAAGACGTTGAATTTGAATTCCGCGATTCCCGCCTGGACGTTGACATTGACGCATGCGCAGTTTGCGATGACAGAACTAATATTTTGGGGTATGTTTTACTTATTTTTTTAATGTTTCAGATATTACTGTTAACAAGTAGGTAGTGTAGTTAGAATATACCCATTTATATATATTTTCCTTGATAACTAATATACTTAAGTAAAACATAACTGATTCGGACGGGTTGTATTTAACACCCTCCTGCATAATTTTTTACAGTGTAGAGTATTTAAACTGCTTGATCACTGGCATAACTTGGGCCAAGCGATTAGTCAACAGAAGAGACAGACAGCTGTTTTCACTTTAGTGTTTTAGACTGTGTATTTATCTGATGTCGGTGCGCTGACGCGGAAGCATCAACGGAAGCTTTCAGGCCTCCTTGTGTGAAGACCAACGAGTGTAATTTATTCCACTATTGTCCATGGCATAAGAAAAAATAAAAATACAAGTTTGAACAATAAGAAACAACAACCAAAAAAAAAACGAAAAGACAATAAGCAGAGGGGAAAAAAAACACCCGTTCAAATTAAGTTTCGGTTTGAGGTCCACGTAGGAATTGCGTCACACAAGTTTGCAGTCATGACGAAAACTGGAGAGTGTAGCGGGATTTTCAGACACCAGGACAGGTGGATGAGCAGCCGATACTTGTCTTCAGAACAACTTTAAGTGCAGACGATCTGGCAGTGCCACGTTTAAAAGTAATTTGGAACTTCACAACGCACCAGACATCACTCACAAGAAAAGCAAACGTTTGAACAAACAGCCATCTTTCCACCTCGCAGTGTTCTCCAAACAATCACTCCTACACTACTGCAAACTTTTACAGATGACGCAAAAACTCTCAGGTATGACTCACTTCCTTATATCCTCTTTCCTTCCGCTGATAATTGAAATGCTCCACCCCAAACACGCAAAGTGAGAAAAAAAAAAAATGAAAGTAGCCTGAAAGGATGTTGTGGCACAACGTTTTCACTGCCACAAACACAAACGAAGATTTTGAACTCAAACCGTTGCAGTCGATCAGTCTTATGATGTAAGTGGATGGGAATCACAGCTTTGGGAGTCAAATTTTTTACCTCTGATTTACTGTCTGTCCTGAGCGCGTCCTCCTGAGCGTGTTCTCAACAGCCGGCGCCTTTACCCATCAATGTATCGTCACGAGCCGCAGGGTTTAATTTGGTTTTGATTGTGTATGTTAATGACTCTCAAAGCCGTGATTCCCATCCACTTACATTGTATGACTGACAAGACTGCAACGGTTTGAGTTAAAAATCTCAGTTTGTGTTCTACTGAAGAAACAAAGTCACCTATATCTTGGATGCCCTGGGGGTAAGCAGATAAACATCAAACTTTCATTTTTGGGTGAACTATCCCTTTAAGGTTATCATACTGTCAAAATCTCATACCGGCACATGCCTACAGCATTCCCTCTTCTGAACATAACAGTGTTTTACTATGCTTTTTCCTGTAGTTATGTTAAAGCTACACTATGTAACTTTTAAGGGTTAAATAATAAAACTGCATGTTCCTACTGGAGAATGCTCTTTTTTGGTTGTGCTTTGGCTCTGCTACTCTGCACAGATCAATGTGTTCGAAGCACCAGTTTACATACGGATACAGGTCATCTTATCAGTATACAAATAAACAATCACACTAACCACAACTACAGCTACTTTTTTCTGTGTACAAATTTGACGTGGCTTGCATAGGTGAATGATGTATGGATACAATTTCTTGCAAAATCTGTCTCGACAGCTCTAATATATAAATCATTATATCATAGTGTATTTGGGTAAAGTAATGACATTGTTTGGAAAATTTATTTTTTGCACACTTTCATTAATATCATTTTGTCTTTAATGGGCAAATAAATGGGCTGCTCTTTATTTGTACTGGGTTTCAATTATTATGGGTAATTTAAAGGCAAAATATGTAATTTTCGCAGCTGGAAGGCGCGTATTCAAAATAAACAGAGACAAATGCGTAGTTTGATGACGCAGTGACTGCGTGTGGAATCATGGGAGTTGTCGTCTTCATCCCCACAGAATAAATGGGCTGCTCTTTATTTGTACTGGGTTTCAATTATTATGGGTAATTTAAAGGCAAAATATGTAATTTTCGCCGCTGGAAGGTGCGTATTCAAAATAAACAAAGAGACAAATGCGTAGTTTGATGACGCAGTGACTGCGTGTGGAATCATGGGAGTTGTCGTCTTCATCCCCCAAAACGTCATGTACAACAATGTTTGATTGCACTCCTTTTGGCATGCGTGTGTTGCAAACCATGTGGCATTCATGTGCAGTCTATGAAGTATCAGAAGTATTTAATGTTTAATGACTACAGCAACATGCTTGGAACAATGATTAGCTGTTTTACAAAATGGAAATATTTTCTTTTTAAGAACAGTAATATTATAGTAACATATTACATAACAGTAATATGTAAGGTGTCTTGACGAAAACCTCTCAAACACACGGAGCACAAGCACTTTGTCAAAGCAGTTGGCATGGCAATGAGGCCACATGAAACTGTATTCTTATAGCATTCTTTGAAGCGTTTAATATAAAGTGTCCCCGTGGCTTGTGCTGTACAGTTGTTTTTTTCTGCTGCAGCTCAGGCCCTGGTCTCAGCTATTTTTCAAATGTATGTGTCTGTTTTCAAGAGGAATGCTTATTCCTATTGCAAATGGACATCACTGACAAAGGTCCTCAGTGTAAAGACTGTTGTACATTGAAATTTTATCAGTTTCACCAATTAGTTGATCATTGTTCATGTATGAGAAACAACATGTAAAAGACACATTCCTACCTGGTAAGGGAGGAGGGGTTGGGCTTTTGGGTGCTGCTTCTTCCACTCTGAGAGGGTCGACTCTGTGCTTACGTTTTAATCGTAATTTCCTAGTTTTCTTTTTGTTCTGGTCCACTGCTCCTGATCAAAGGTGAAAGACATTGAAATCACTTCATCCACTCCAACAAATTGCAGCGGTAAATAGGTTCTTCATGTGTTATAATAGCAAAAGTGTGTATTTGAAAGTAACTGACAATACTCAAATAAACCTTTTAGTCCTTTTGAGGAATAAAAGATACTACCTGATTCTGTGCTCTCCGGGGTCTGTCTCTCGCTCTCTTCATCCTCCTCCTCTTCCTCTTCATCCTCATCTTGAAGGACTGTCTGTTCTTGCACACTGCCCTGCTGGCCATTTTCTCTCTGTCTTTGCATCTCTTTCTCTTTGTTTAGTCTGTCTTCATTCTGGGATTTTTATATGAATTTAGTATTTGCATCATAATGATTTCATCCAACTTGTATTTAAAAGAAACACTGTGATAACTAACCTCATTAACAACATTGTTTATTGGCTGGAAAGGGTTGGGCATGTCGACATCATCTAGATCTTCCTCTTTCAATGTCCTTCCTTCTCGCTCTGCTTCTTCTCGTTCCTGTCGGTCTCTGTCAGTGAAAACATCTTCATCAAACTGTTGTTTGCATTTTGAACACTTTAAAGTAATGATGACATGGAAGTAGAGACAACTATTTTCTTCAATATTGTACCTGAGTGATAATCTGAGTGAAACAGATCATCAAAAATTGTGGTGAGGGAGGGCTACTAACATCATCAGCCACCATTTAAAAATCGGTGTTCCCCAGGGTTCTGTTCTGAGCCCTAGGCCTGTCGCAATAATCAATATATTGACTTATCACGCAATATATGTACATGATATCGCACAACAAAAAGTTGTTATTGTGACAGGCCTACTGAGCCCTCTTATATTCTCCATTTTACACACACCTCTGTGGCCTTTCAACTCCACTGTGAATTTTACGGTTGACTAGTGCTGGGCGGTTTGACCAAAAGTCTGTATCAGGTTTTTTTTTTTAGGATTCTGGTCTCTCTGACAGCAGGTGGTGCTTATGGAACAGCAGGGATACAACGTTTCCTTGGTTACTGCTGTAAACAAAGCAGCACTACACTTTTAAATGCTATATTAATATGCATTATACAGAGTTAAGATAAAAAAAATAAACTTTTATGAAGACAGTCAGTTGCCCTCAGAGATACAGTCATATAAACCCCCACCCCCAATTTAGTATTTACAATTTTATTCCTGTGTTTCGTGCATCATGAACAGTGAGCTTGATCAGACTGCTACTATATATATTTTCTCCTCTTTGCGTTCAGCTTCAGCGTCTCTGGCCTCTGTTAACAGCCATTTAGAGTTGGTTTATTTGCCCAGTTAAAGAATAAGTTGTGTGTTATTAATAGTTCTAGAAGTTCTCCAACCATTAGTCGGACGTGTATGCAGTTAACAAGGATCTCCTCTCAATTCACAACGCTGTCTACGTTGCTTAGCCACCAGTATGCCGTTTTTTTTTTTTTTAATTCATACAGTTTGTGTAATTCAAACTGGTTTACCGTTTGAACCGGTATATCCCCCAGCACTACTGTTGATGCAGTTTTGTTGGGCCTGTTTGCTAAGAGCAATGCAATTCTCTCTTATAAAATACCAGCAAGAATGCAGGGCGGGGACTTGGTTCATTTGCTGATCATTAGATTTTCAGATGTGAGCTTGCAGTCAATTGTTCAAGGGGCAGGTTTTAAGCAGACTAAAAGATTAGAGAAGTCTGGCATATGTCTCCAGAGAGAAATCTGTCACCTTCAAGAGGAAGATCGAGTTTGGATTAAACATTACGACAAAAAATAAATAAATAAAAATAAACATATACATGGATGAATCATTCACAATAAGATCCATAAAACACAAAACATATAGTGAATTTACATTTCATGTTAACTTTAGTTACTTTGCAGTAACTAGAAAAAACATTTTGAAAAACACTCAAAGTGAAAAAACACTTTAAATATAAATGCAAATAAAACCAGCTCAGTTTACATTAAATCATTTCAGAACTAGACTACATTATCTCAACTTTTTTCAATGACTATGCCACTAACTTCATACACTCCTGACATATCTGGAAAAGAGGGATCAGCATGACAATCTGAGTGAAAAGTCTTGTCAGCTCACTGACCTCTCCTCTCTGATCCGCCGGACTCTCTCAGCTCTTTCCTTCTTGTCTTGTTCTTCTTGAGCCTTCTGCTCAGCTGTATCTCTTTGCACACGCTCTGAAATTGCATCGTAGTCCTTGGCAATGTTACTCAGGAGCCAGTTAAGTCCATTCTTGATGGATTTGTCAACCTTCTTACCATAACCTAGCACTGCAGAACAGGGTTCCTGAGAGTAGAGGAAACAATGTTTAGCTCAGTTTTATATGATTGGTTTGCAACATTTCTGCCAAGAGAATGGGATGAATTTGACAAAATTTGAACCTGTTAAAAGCAAATAATAAATAAATAAAGACTCAGGATTTCCTCTGTGATTAAAAACTCACAAGACTGATAAATATAAACTGTGCTGAAATATTAACTCACAATCTGACAGAGGCATTTATTCTCGTTGACAAGCTTCTCCAATGACAGGGTCTCAATGATATCTGCTTCAGCCAATGCCCCATCTCGGTCCTGTTTATTAGCCAGTCTGCAAGCCAATCAGAATAAGGAAAGAGCTGGTCACTAGGTGTGCAGGTCACTAGGTAAGCTGTCACAAACAAATGACCTGAGGTCGGCACTTGAGGTTGACTGAATAATTAGCCTTGTGTTAAAGAATACTCTTGACTTATTAGCACACTTAACAAGCTATATTTAGTCAAGGACTTCATCTGCTGCTCACTCCCTCAGTTAATTGGACCCATTGCAGCTTGTCTAATGCCCCGACAGATATACAGATGATGTATTGCACATTTATTGCACACTTATTGCACACCACCCTGTTCCACTTGGACTAAAAGCAGGAATTATGTGAGGATGCTCTTCACTGATTACAGCTTGACATTCATCAAAGCCTCCAGGCTCATCAGCAAACTCAAGGTCCTGGCTCTAAACTCCTTCATATTTCTGACAGGCAGGCAATGTTGGTGAAGGAGGGCTGTAAACATTATCAGCAGCCTTTTAAAAATGGGTGCTCCCCAGGGTTCTGTTCTGAACCCCCACTCTGCACATTTCGTATGTACATGTGCATCTCAATAAATTAGAATGTTGTGGAAAAGTTCATTTATTTCAGTAATTCAACTCAAATTGTGAAACTCGTGTATTAAATAAATTCAATGCACACAGACTGA